GGGAGGGGTGGATCAGCTGCTGCCTGGTGGAAGTCCAGCCGCAAGAGGCCCCCTCCTCCAGGGCCACCTCCACCTGGGCCGCCTGTGCCAGGCCACGTAAAAAGCAAGGGGCTGCCACATTGGCCACAAGACCAATTTCCACGCCCACGTTGTGGCGACACCCCTTTTGCCAGGCCAACCAAAACGGCGCAGGGCTCCAGGCAAGCTTTGGAGACCACAAAGGTCAATTCCAGGCCTGATGTGGCAAGAAGCGGGTGGGAGGGGCTGACGCCTCCCACGCGTGGCCTGCCTCCCGCTTGAAGAGGCGACGTCCAGGAGGGGCCAGCAGAGTCCCGACTCAGGGTCACCTGCACCGGAAAGGCCCCTCGGCCTGCTTAGGATGGGTCGGGTTTCAAAGGAGGTCCCCGGCGGCTTCCTGCCACTTGCCCCCTTCCCATGTGGGTTGCTCTCATAAAGCACAGTGCAGGTTTTGGACCACGCAACAAGACGTCTGCTATCCCCAGCATTGTGCCCTTCCTGAAATGCTGCCCCCCTCCCCCCCCCCCGCATGGCTGGGTCGGAAAGGATGCCCTGGGACCTGCTTCACTTTTGCTGCTGGCAACTCCGCCTGAGAAAGGCAGCGTCTGTTCCCCCACCCACCCCCCGCTCCACCCAGGACGCTTCCTGCAGCCCTTCTGGGGGGGGGAGGGAGGAGAGAAGCCCAGCCAGACCCCGAGGGTCCAGCCCCTGGCGGCCACTGCACAAAGACCCCCCCCAAGGGACCACCGAGCAGATGCCTGGGTCTGATCGGCCACTCCTTGGCAAAGCTTCACCCCTGAGAGGACTCTCGCGGCCGGAGGCTCCTCTCCTGACCCGCCCCCGCCCCACTCCCGAGGGTGGCCTCCCCCTGGGGGGGGCTCCTCCTGCCCCCTGGCTCACCTCGTCCAGGCTCTTGGTGACGTCCGGTTTGTCTGGGTGGCCGCAGGAGGACATCAGCTCCACGCCGAGGCTGCCCAGCGAGTCCAGGTCGCTCTGCAAAGAGTCAATCTCTCCCCGCAAGGCCTGGAGGGGGGGGAAGGGCATCAAGGGGAGTGGGGGTCCAAAGGGCAGGGGGCCTCCCCAAGTGGAGCGAGGCTATGGCCAGCCGGCTGCGCACCGACAGAGGCCAGCTCAGGCTCCCCTCGGCCAGGACAGAGAGCCAGAGCCACAGGGAATGGGTTGGCGGGAGGAAGGGAGGTTTGTCCTGGGGGGGGCAAGGGGTCGCACCGTATGAGGGGAAAGGGCACAGAGTGAGGTCTGCAGTGGTGAAAAGAGAGCCGAGAGGAACTTCCTCTTGCTCGTGGATCCAGCAGGGCAGGTGGGTGATTTGTGAGAAAAGGAGGAGAGCCTTCTCCACACGGAGGGAGGGAGGGAGGGAGCGCCCCGCTCTGAAACTCTGAAATCCCGGGGGGTGGGATGGGGGTCAGAGGGGCTCCTGCTCAGGGTAGCCTGGTGGAAGGCTCCGGGCGACAGCAAGACCTTCGGGGAAAGCGAGCCGATGGCACCAGACATCTTGTGCCAGATGGGGCCGGAGGGGAAAGGGGTTCCGCTCTGGTCCAGCCAGAGACCCTCCCAGGGGTCACGATTCCTCCAAGGTGGCAGGAAAATACAGCCCCCTTTTGCTCACAACAGACAGGCCCCAGTACCTGCATGACCGCAAGCCGGGCCCGAATCGCCTCCGGCTCCGAGGGGCCCTCCTCCAAGTCCAGCACCAGCTCCTGGGTGTCGCCAAGAGTGGCCGCTAGGTCCGAGAGTCCCTGCCAGAAGCGGTCGGCCAAGGTCAGGAGGCCGTGCAGCCAGGTCTCCCGCGTCTCGCCCTCACGCCACAGGGCTTCCCACTGGCCGAGCAGCTGCGCCACGCGGTTCTGGATCCCTGTCCCCGAGAGACGGAGTGCTGAGCCCTGTGAGCCTTGGTCTCTGGGCGGGACCCACAGAAACCCTCCTGCTAGGCCCCCCCAGCCCTGGCTGACCCAGCGCATCGAGGAGCAGGGCCCACCTCCTTCAGGCCACCCAGAATGGAGGGCAGCCCAGGAGTACGGCCTGAGGGCCCCCGTCAGACCTCTGAGCATCAGCCCAGCACCCTTGGAATCTGGGGCCAGCAGCAGGACACAAGGAAGGGAGGAAGGAGCAGATGATGAGTGGAAGGAAGGAAGGAAGGAAGGAAGGAAGGAAGGAAGGAAGGAAGGAAGGAAGGAAGGAAAAGAGAGGGAGGGAGGAGTCAGAGCAAGTGCTAGGCAGCCCAGCAGGTGAGGTGGAGCCCCTGCTCAGGTGAGGGATGCACGGGAGGGATGACGGGGAGCGCTGAACGTACCTTGGTGGGTGCCGGTCTGCAGGGCAGCCAGCAGCTCAGCCCCCTGTCCACGGAGGGTCTCGAGGGCCGTGCCCAGCCTCTCCAGCTCCCCCAGCCGGAGGCTGTTCTCCCGGACCTGCTCCCGGAGCCAGGCCGCATCTCCTCGCACAGCCAGGGGGCGCTCCATGCGGCCTCGCAGCCTCTCCAGGCATTCCTCCATCAGCTCCATGCGCTCGGAGAGCTGTAACACACAGAAAGGGCGAGGAAGGTGAGGACCTCCCAGGTCCCTGTGGTTCGCCCAGGGCGATAAAAAAGAGATGGGTGCAAGGCTGCAGGGAGGGGCAGCGCCCAAAGGGAGGCCTGGAGGCCGTGGCACCAGCTCACAGCCCGGAGGAGCGGGGGGGGGCTGGAGATCAGCTGGCAGCTGGCAGTCTTCCTGGCTGGGCAAATTTCCCCATCGGCTGCCGGCTGCCCTCTCCTCTTCCCTGCCCCAGGGAACCTCACTTGGACAGACCCTTGCCTGCCTAAACACTGGGGGTCGGTGGGAGGGAGCCTGGCCTATTTTCGTGTCAAACAAAAACACAGCACAAACAAAAAGGGGGGAAAATACAAGAGACAAAAATGTTGTGATACCTTAAAGGTTAATTGTTATATTTTAATGTGAGCTTTCCTGGATGGCACCCACTTTTCCAGACATTAAAAGAGTCAGACCATGTGACTGGCGACACCCAGTGTGGGGTAGTGGACAGAGTGAATGAGTAGGACTCAGAAGGCCTGGGTTCAAATCCCCACTCAGCCACGGAAAGTCAGGCGTGGGTGGGAGAAGGACGGGTAAAACCACCCCTTAAATCCCTCACTTACCTTTGAAAGTCCATTTAGGGTTGCTAGAAGTCGGTTCCAACTCAAAAACCTGTCACGGTGTGAATGAGGCCATGCATAACCATGGCAGTGACAGAGTGCCACTCTAAAGTCCCAGGAAGTGGACTGGATCCATGAAAGCTCACATTAAAATCTAGCTGGTAGTCTTTAAGTTGCCCCCCACACCTTTGTTCCTTGTTTCTTTCCTTTTGGGGGGGGGGTTGGCTATGTTTCCACAGACTACGTAAAATGGCTACTTTTTTTGACAACTAGTCTCTTACAACTTGCCACTAGTTTGTGGGTGGTTGGGTGCTGAACATTTTCCTGCCTGTGCTGCCAGGCCAGCTCCTTCTTCCTATTTGCATCTGGTCCCTTGGCCTGCCTGCTTTTGCCCCCCTCCTTCTTCCCTGACCACCATTCAAGAAGTAAGCATAAAGCATGCCAGAAACTCTACTTGTCCCTCTGATTGTAACTGTTGTGGTGAATGTGAGTAAACTGCACTTCTTTCCCTTGAAGATGCATCTAGAGTAACTATTTTACTATGAAAGGAATAGTAATGGGGCCACTGATGCAAACATATTTCTAATAAATATAATGAGAAAGGTCAAAGGCACCATCCACCATGGAATTCAGTTTCTCCACCCCTCCCTCCAAAAACTCTTCAGGGTTGCAGAGACCATGGACCTTAATTAACATAATCCCCAGCAAGACAATGGGAGGACCATGATTGCTGCTTTGATTTGCATCTCAACAAGAACCGGTTCTGGCAGTCACCGCAGTATTTACTCAAATTTACATTGATTCCTCCCCCTTGGACACTCCAACACTCTGAGCACCTGGACAGGTGTTGTTGTTTAGTCGTGTCGGACTCTTCATGACCCCACAGACCAGAGCACGCCAGGCCCTCCTGTCTTCCACCGCCTCCCGGAGTTGGGACAGGTAAGGTGGACCAACTCCTCAATGCTAATGAGCTTCCTGAATTGTTCATTCACTACCATGCCTGGGTGAAGCAATGCAAGTAGCCACAGGCCCATTGGGAGCAGACCTTTTCCCACGATGTCCCCCAACAGCTGCGCCCAGGTGAAACAATACAGCCAGGGATAATCCCCTAGAATAGTGCCAGACCCCCAGATCCCAAATCCTTTGCCTAGAATCCATTCCCCTTTCTGCAGAACCGGATCTATTACCAGACAAACTGCATTCCAAGTCTCAGAACCGCCCCCCCCCTTGTATGTACATCCGATAGAATTCTTTGTTAACTATTTCCTGGTCACGTATGCTGTGTCCCAAACCCTGATTCCGGAATACAGAAGGTATAAAACCCCCTGCTACCGTTCTTCGGGGCGGACTCTCGTCTTTGCTTGCAAGAGACAAGGTTTGTCTGTCCTTAACTGAATGCAATACGAACGGCAATTCTTTTGAACTCTCTCTCTTGTCGGATTTTATTGGAATCTATTTCTGACCTGCTTAACTCTTGAGACTGGCTCTGGAACTCAACAGTAGTCTGTGGATCCGAGGGAGAGAAGGGAGCCGAAGATGATCGGCTACACCTGCGGTGTCTTTTCTGCCTTGTGCCCGGCTAAGGCAAGGAAGGAGCAACTCCCGGATCTCCCCTAAGCGTTTTTTTTTGTTTACCAAAAACCCCAGTAGAGACATCTCGCAGTCCTTTCAGTGGGTCAGATTGGGTGCTAAGCGGTCCACTGATCCCCCAACGGAGGAGGCTCGGGGGGGGGTCTCAGCAGAGGGGCCTGAAGGGCCGGGGGAGCCTCTTTCCTCCGGAACCCACTGCAGGCACACACACACACAAACACACAACCCCTCTGACAACAGAGGCAGCCTTGAGCCCCGATCTCCCAGCTCCCCCCTGCGTAAACCCCCCCCCCGGACCCGCCCTCCCCTCTGCCGGCTGCCCGGCTAGGGCTCACCTGGCTGTACCGGGGGATGGCCTCCTCCATCACAGCCGCTGCCTGCTGGATACGCTCTCGGATGCCGCAGAACCGCTCCTCCGCCAGCCGCCAGCCCTGCTGGAAGGGGGCTGCCTCCTGGGGGCTGAGCTCCCCCAGCTGAGCAGAGACACGCTGAAGCTTGGCCAAGAGGGGCTTGCGCTCAGCCGCTGCCTCCCGGAGAAGCTGCAGAGATGGGGAGAGTCCTTGTGGGTGTGGGACGCAGGAACCTTCCCGCACCCACCCCTGGGGGGGGCGCCCAGGCCTTCCTCCTCCTCCTCCTCCTCCTCTGCGCTGCAGGGGCTCTCACCTGCAGCCTCTCCTGGTGCTCCCGGAAGGTCTCACAGCTCATGTCCTCGGAGGAGAACAGCAGCAGGGCCACGGCACTCGGCGTCTCCTCTAGCCACGGCTGGAGCGCCTCCTGGGCTTCAGCGTACTGAGCCAGCAGCAGCTGGGCACGCTCCACCTGCGCGCCACGGGCTGAGCTTCGGTGCACAAGCTGCTCCATCTCCTCCCGCAACCGCTGGGCCAACGGCTGGGGGGAACAGGGGAGAATAATTCAGGGTGCTCAGGCACACACTGGGGGCAGCGCCCCTCTCCGCCTCCTCCTCCTCCCCCACTCGGAAGGCAACGGGTCACCCCATCGTAAGGAAGCCTGTTGCATTCCTGTGACGTGTGTGCACACTTGCAGGGGTGGGTCCTTGTGGAGGGGGGGCCTCTTGTGACCTGAGGGCAACCAGACCCTGCCATGTGTCCGCAGAAGAAGAAGTGGGGGGGGCGTCAGAGGGGCAGGGAGGCGTGAGGGACCACCCTGGCGACCCCACGGCATAGCGGTTTCTCCTGGAGGTCCAGGCTGCCCTGGGTGAAGCCACAGCGCTGGCAGGACAAGACCACGTCCCACCCAGGCACACAGGATCCCACTCATGCGCATGCGCACATGCTCGGCCAGCTCGCCTCACCTGGAGCTGCTTCTGCAAGTCTGAGGGGCAGCGGCTGAGCAGCCGGTCCGTGACGGGCACAAGCCGCTCGGCAATGCTATGGTGGTGCAGGATCTCGGCAGAGAGACGCTGGGGATGAGGGCGGGGGGAAGGAAAGGATCAGAAACAGGAAGAGGGGGCTGCCATCGTGACACGATCCGCTGTGTGGCCCTGCCACGTAGGCCTGCTGGCTTGGTGACTAGGAGGCCACGGCCCACCTCCCTCCGGCAGCAGCTCAGGACCAGAGGCACCGGTGGCGTGCTGCCCGGTGGGGACGCCCAGCCAAGGAACCCCTCCCTCCCTCCCTCCCTTAGGGTGTCTCCTGAAGCCCCCCCCCAGGGCACTCACCTTTTGGTCCGCCAGCTGCAAAGGGAGGGCCTGGGCGTCCAGGCACAGGGGGCCCAGCTGGTCGAGCCGGGAGCTGAAGCGGGAGGTCTGGTCCATTTCAGACCGCAGAGCCTGCTCAAGCTGCGACAGAGGGAGAGAGGCCATGGGGGCCCCAGAAAGGCTTTCAGCTTGGTCGGTGGGGGGGCTCCATTCTACTTTTGTGCTAAGGGTGCCTAGCGATTCCAAGAGGGATGCAGCCGACCTGCTGCTTGGCATGCTGGGTGCTTGTGCAGGGACACGAGGCTCTCCCGGCGTTTACAGGGTTCGCTTTCTCTACTGAACTGTGTGGCGCGGCTGCAACAGCCCCCTTCCAGAGACGGTGGGGTGTGGTGGGGACTGTGCAGGACTTGGCCATTCCTGGGGGGGGTGTCAGAGGATGACCTGCCCCTGGGGGCCATGATCCCCGTGGCTCTGGGCTTCCACTGACTCCTGTTCTCGCACTTCCCAGCAGGAGACGGCCCACTGGCCACAAAGTCCAGGGGAGAAGCGGGGTGCCCGTTCCCTGACCTTCCCCTCCCCGGGGACGGGGTCAGTGCCCTCCCCCTGGCCCTACAGCCCTCCGAAAGCCTCCCCAGCCCCCACCCCGTGACTCTGCTCCGCCCAGGACCCGCCTCTGGCTGCGGCTGGGAAGAGGGAGAGAGGATCCCCTCCCGGCTGGCACAGCACCTTCTCCACATCTGCAGCCGTGACGGGGCCGAGGCCACCTTCTGGCCAGCCGCCCTCCGGGAGCAGCTCCTTCTCCAGGCGGGCCAGCCAGAGGGCCAAGTCCTCCTGGGTGGCGTCCAGGCGGGCGGAGGCCTCCCTGGCCTGCTCCAAGCGCTGCAGGATGTCGGCACTGCTCTGGCCCACGATCAGGAACCGCATCCGGACGGAGTCCATCTTCTCCTGGGCCAGGTGGGCCTCTTCCTCTACGGGCGGGACCAGAGGTCAGCGTCGGCTCAGCCCCACGGGATGGGGGGAGGTGGGCGGCAGGGCCCCCGGCCCGACCTGCCTTCGGAACCGACCCATCGCCCGGAAGCCGACCCTAGGCTATCCCCATCCCATGCCCAGGTGCGCCCGAGGGAAGCTGCAGCCGAGAAGGACCAGCGAGAGAGGAAGGCCTCGGGGGCACAGGGGGCGTCCTCCCGCCCCGGCACCGCAGCAGGCCCTCTCCACCGGTTCCCCAGCCGGCCTTCCCCACTGGCTGGCGGCGACTGCCCTGAGCCTCCTCGGCTGGGCCTCGGCCACTTGCCTGGCACCATCTCCATCAGCCGCTGTCCGTGTCCCAGGGCGCCTTCCAGTTCAGCCGTCTTGGCGCGGATTTCCTCACACAGACCCTAGATGGAAGGCAGCCATTTTAAGTGTTAAAGAGCAGTCTCTCTCTCTCTCTCTCCCCACTATAGCATGCCCCCCTGGCCAAAGCGCGGAGCTCCTACTCCCCTTGAGCCAAGCCATTTTGCAGAAGCCTTGCCTGTCTGGACCCTTGGCCCCGCCCCCCCCGAGGGGTCCATCTCCCAGCCCCGCGGAAGATGATGGCCATTCAGGGGGCGCTGCCTCGGCCATGGGCTTGGCCAGTGGGGTGGTGTCTTCCCATGGTGAGAGGGGGGGTCTGTCCTGGCATTCCCTCCCCCCAGATGGGCTGCACGGTACACAGCCGGCCACTCTCCTGACCCTTTGCTGCACCATTTCCATGTCAGGCGAGGAGCAAGGGCTCCCCGGGGGTATCGGATGGGTCCCCCTCAACCCTGACACAAAGCACCCCTATGCCACCCCCCCAAGTGCAGCGTAAAGGGCCCGTTCCCCCCTCCCCAGCCACCCAACGCTGCACCTGGATTTGCTGATGGGCCTCCTGGGTGGGGTTCAGATTCCCGTTGGCTCGCCAGAGCTGGGCCAGTTTCCTCTCGGTGGAGCCCAGCCAGTCCTGGAAAGCGTCCACTGATTCCTGGAAGGTGCAGGCCGTGGGAAGGATCTTCTCCAAGGAGCGGTGCCTTTCGGAAGAGGAAACAGGTCAAGGGTGAATGAGGGTCAGGTGGGCCGCTGAGGGGAGAGAGGAGTCCATGCCCCCAGATCATGCAACACACGGAAAGAGTGGGGAGGAAGGGAGGGAGGGGCTCCCCATCCCTCTCCGGAGGAGACCCGCCCTCCGCCCCCCACATCCACACACTTCTAAAGCACAACGGATCGGAGTGGGATGGCCTCTGATGGCAGGACGGAAAGGGTGCTGATGTACAAGAGGGGCAGGAGAGGCCAGAAACGAGAGCTGGAGCAAAAGGAGAGCCAAGCCACAAAGAGTGAAGGGAGCCTCTCTCGGGCGCAAGGGGAGGGGGCTCTTCAGGGTCTCGACCAGGACACGAGGGGCGAGGCAGCAAGAGGAGGAGAGCAGACGTGGCTGCGGGCAGGGAGTGCCCACAGGGAAGGGCCACGGGAGGAAGCCTGGGCGTTCCCCCCCCCCGGGAGAGAGAAGCAGCAGCTGCTGGCAAAGTCCAAGGCTTCCGATGTGAGGATAGGAAGGAAGAGATCAGAGGAGGGGAAGCCGCTTTGGATAAGCAGCTTAACAGGTCCATGGACGTCTTCGCGTGGCATCTCGGACGGAGAGCGGGACCATCGACCGACCGGTGCAGGTCTCTTGGCACAATAAGTGCACGTGTGGGTCACACCAGCGTCCTGCACCCCACAGGCCTCCCTTCACGAATGGGGACCCTGCAGTTTCCCAGAAAGCTCTTCTCTCTTCCCCACAAGACCCTCGTGGCACACAGGCCACGCTCCTCCTTCCACTGACCCACAGCTCTCTCACCCAGGGCATTCGCTCTCGTCCTGTTAACAGATCGGCGAGAACCGGTTGCCTGGAATTCCGGAGTTCAGTTCTGGACTTCTTGCTTGGAATTCCGGAGTTCAGTTCTGGACTTCAGGCCACCAATTATATCTACTCTCTCTCTCTCTCTCTCTCTCCTTTCCCTCTAAAGCTGAGGGAGCTGCTCCAGGTGGTGGACCAAAGGCAGGTGAACAAGAGGAGGCTTGACCCGGAGAAGACTGAGGGGCTCCTGGCCCATTGAAAGGCAGGCCAGGGAACAGGTCACATTCCACACACACACACCCAAAAAAAGCAGGTTTGCCCACTGAGTTGAGCTCTCGTGGACTCACCTCTGAGCCAGGATGCCCAGGTCTCTGATTCTCTCAAGTCTGGTTGGTTCGCCCCAGATTTCAAGCTGGCAGGCAGCAGAAGAAAGAGGCAGGGCTGCTCCCCGAGGGAACACGGCCGGGCTGCTTGGAGGATTCTGCAGCCGGGAGGGCCTGCCAGAGCGGCTCGGTCCTCTCCCCACAAGGGCCTGGAAGTTTTCCTCTCCTGCAGTGCCAGGAGGGAGCCCAAGGGCCCACAACTGTGGGCACAGAGCCCCCCTCCCCACACACATCTAGGGTGGCCGTAGGTCCTCCATCAGGGTGGCCAGTTCACCACTGAAAGAGCTGCCCTCCTTTATAGTAAAGTGTTAGGGGTCCTCCTGCTCCCCCCACCCCACCCCAGGGGTGGCTCTTCGTCAAAAGAGAGGCAATCCACGCACACTGCCATGACTCCTGTTAACTGGCAGGAAGGGCACAGCATGGTGGTGGGGAGCTGAATTCAATTGTGAACGAACCTCAGATGGGAGGTCTGTCCCAGGAGACGATCTTCTGGCAGAACCATTCAGACCCTTCCGCTGAAATAACTGGTTGTTGCCTAGCCAGATATTTCAAAATGTGTGCTACTTATATAATGCCCCATAAGGCTTAAAGTACTCCCTGGCAGTTTAAAATGTAATTATGCAGGCTACACATTGCCCCCTCACTCAGCAAACTGGGTATTCCTTTTATCAACCTCAGAAGGATTTGGCTGAGTGAACCCTAAGCCGCCTACCTTTGTGATCAAATTTAGATCATGAGTAGAGTCATAGCTGCAGTTTTGCAGTTTAACCACTACGCCACGAAGCTCAGTGATCTAGTCACTTCTCTTTTCTTTCTGTTTATTCTACACAGATTTTCAGTGAGATGCAGAAAATGCAAGTCCCTTTAGAGGCTCTTCAGAGCATTATCACACACCAAGTCTCATTTGTGTATTTATTGGATTTATAAATCAAAGTGGTTGCGGAAACCATCTTGTGGAATGTGGTGCACAGTAGTGCATTTTCTCTTAGGGGATAGTAACAATGCCTAATTGTGATGCTATTTGCATATGTTAGTTCAAATTAGCACACACTAATTATATATAAATTATTAATTCAGGCCAAAGAGGACACACAAGGATTAAAAACACAGTGGCAATATGATCTGGATAAAGAATAGGTGAAGAATGGGATAAAATGTGGGACCAAAGAATTATGAAGAACATGTCTGTAAGGATAAAAGAAAACGGTTATAAGGTAATATGGAGGTGGTATTTAGCCCCAGTAAAACTGAATATAATAAATAAAAATGTATCATCACTATGCTGGAGATATAAAAAAAAGAAAAGGGGACATATATACATATGTGGTGGTCATGTGAACTAAGAAAGGAAGAATGGAAGCAAATTTTTAAAGAAACAAGGGAAATAACTGGATTAAATATTCAAATGTCCCCATCAATGGGTTTACTGAATATGGTTAAGAAGGATCAATTGTTGAAAGAGTATAAGGACTTAATAGTAATAATGATTACGGTAGCAAGGTTAATTTTTGCAAGAAACTGGAAAAATGATAACCAACTCAATTTAGAGGAATGGTAGAGAGAACCAAGGAGGATTGCAATTAATGATAAACTGACATGTGATATGAAAATAAGAAGAGGCCAATAAAAAATAATGATTTTAAGAAAATACGGAGTGCATTCTTGGAATATGTATTTCGGAGAGGGAAGGGGTATACGCCGAGGGAAGAAACAATGAAGTTTTGGCGGGAAAATGGACTGAACTAAATTTAAAATATTATTAATGCTAGCCCTGAGGGTGAGGGGGGCAGTGATGTAATATGTAATATGTAATTGTATTTTATTGTGGTGTTAGATTTATGTTGTTTGGGTTGGATGTTTGTTTAATAAATGTATTTTAAAAAATAAGAAAACGAATTAGCACACGCCAATCGAAGGCAAACACGTCCTCCTTTTCTGCAAAGCCTAGCCAGAGTCTCTCTCCAGGGCGCTCCTGCTTCTCTTGCTTCCTTCAAAGGCCTCCTTAAAGCCCCCCCCCCATCCGTGCACCTCTTCCCCCCTTGGCCCCTCCCCAGCCATGGATCCCAAGCAGAGGCAGGGCAGCAGCCTGCCCCGCAAGAGGGGCTTCGGTTTTGAGCTCAACAGGGCAGGGACCTGGGCGCTCTCCTTTTCCGAGGGGGGTAGGCAGGCAGGGAGAGTCTACCCATGGAGCAAATACAGAGAACAAGAACAAGAACAGGGCAGGCCGGCAGGTGGGCCTCCAAGGCCAGGCGCACTAAGGGAATCCCGCGGGGGTCACGCAAGGGGCCCTTTGGGGCCGGAGAGCAAGCCCCCTTCCCTCTCGGCACGCGAGGGCTCCAGACTCACCTGCCTTCGGCTCTCTGGATGAGGGTCGCCCACGTCTCCTGAAGGCTGGAGAGGTTCGTCTCCCACCCCTCCTTGGCCAGGGAAGGCTCCGGGGGGTTCTGCTGCCTCCCCTGCAGGAGGTGCTCCACGAGGGGTCTCCGCTCGTCCAGGAGGCGCCGGAGAAGCTGTAGGGCGGCAGGTGAGCGGTGCCAGGAGGATTCCCGGCCATGACCCAGAGCCTTCTGCCCCATGGCCATGCGGAATGCTTCCGAGGGTCACTGATCTGGAGGCTGGCTGAAGCGCCACGGCCAGAGAGGGCAGCGCCCGGATCGCTCTTCAGCCTTAGCTTGGCTTTAAAGCTTTGGCTTGAAAGAGCTACCATAGCTTAGCTTAGCTTTCTCTCTCCCTCTCCCTTTCCTTTCTTTCTTTCTTTCTCCCTCCTTCTTTCTTTCTTGTGCCAACCAGTTGCTCGGGGTACTTTATTACTTCCCGCACTTCCTACACCACAGCTTCTGCACTGAGCTTTTGTGGACGGCAGTCCCCTTCCTCGGGTACTTCTGACGATTGGACTCTTGTCTCTTTTTATAACCACTGAACTAAGCAATCTGTTCTGTTTCTTGTTTCAGATAAGGTTTTCCCCCTAAGGACGGTGCCCTGGAGGTGCTCAAGAACCCCGGGAAGAAGGGGCGGTTCACTGGCCCACGCCAGCCGCCCTTCCTCCCGAGCCCCAAGGTGTGCCAAGGCACAGAGGTGCCTAGAGGCTCATCAGGAATGCCCCCCCCGCCATCTTTGGCCCTGGCAGGGTTCTCTGGGAGAGCGTGGTGCATCTTGGCCCATGTCCACCCATTTCTGCCCTCACCGCTGTGCCCACACAGGAACTGGGCAGCAGGCCTGACTTGAGGGAGGGTCATTCCCAAGGGCCAAGGGCCAAAGCCGGCCTCCCGCCAGCAGGAGCAAAACTCACCTTCTGCTCTTGGAGTTGAGCTCTCGCCACCTTGGCCTCAGAGGAAGGAGGTTTCTGGCCGGCCATGAGCTCCTCCATGTCTTTCACCCAGGCCAGTAACTTCCCCAGTGTCTCTTGGGCTGGCGCACGGCTCCACGAGTGCCCGTGGAAGGAGGCAGCCTGGAAGGGGGAAAGGTGGGGTGGGGCCCCGGAGTCAGAATTCGGCCTGAGAAGCCCCATCCCAAGAGGGCAGCGTCCTGCCAGCCCACGGCGAAGGGGCCGGCCACAGAGAGGGACCGGACGGTGTGCACCAGCAGCCACGCTGGACCCAAACGCCTCGCTTCTCACACCAAAGGGAAGGCGGCTCCTGTCCCTCGGCCCGGCCCAGACAGATACTGGCTGCTCTCGGCAAAGGGCTCTGAGGCAGAGACCCACGGGTCTAAGCAGGAGAGAGCCGAGAGGCGGCCGGACCCATCGGCTGGCTGCCAAAGGAAGTTCACAAGGGCACACTCGCATCTCAGACGCCTCCCCTGTGAAGACCATCCCATCCCGAGGCCACAATCTATCCACTGCCCAGCCAGGCACAGGCATTCTCCACGTTCTTCGTGGCCTCTGTCCTGGTGCACTGAGGGACAGGGGTGTGTGTGTGTGTGTGTGTGCAGAGGGACAGGGTGTGTGTGTGTGTGTGTGTGTCGTTCTGCATCTTTCCCCTGAAACACCTTTTGGTCCTTCTCAAGGCTGCTCCGCTGCTCCAGAGAGCAGGTAGGAGACCTCGGATACTCCAAAGCTGTTGGGGAACAGCAGGCGCCGGGCGGCAGCTTTGCAAGCCCCCAACCAGGATGGCCTTGGGACTGCTCCAGCACCACCCTGTGGGTGTGTGCACACGCACTCTCATTCACCTCAACCCACCCACCTGCGCACGTGCACAGCGCCGTTCAGACAGTAGAAGCAGCCAGGCCTGCTGAGGTCCATGTGCCCAATGCAGGGCAGGGCCTACCGACACAGGGGGTCTTCACGCCTGCTGCAGCCAGACGCCCAGGCCCACAGAAAGGTTCGGAGCAACACCCGGGCCTTCCTCTCAGGCAACAAGCTTTCCTTGCTTACTTGCTCCGGCCTGGGTTGAACGGCGCAAGAGGCGCCTGCTTGCAGTGAGAGGCCAAAAGAGCTTTGGGGGGCCTGAGGAGGCACACCTAACAGACATTCACATCCTAATGACGAGTTTGCAAAACGAGGAGGCAAGAAAAGCCTGCAGGAGGAGGGAGGCCTTTCCCCAGTGAAGGAACTTTGTTCCTCCTCCACATGGACCTGGTCTTCTCTAATGTAGATGGACCCTGGGAAGCAGGCCAGTTGCTGTGGCTGGTGGGAGTGGGGGTGGTGGGGAGCGTCACCCCCTGTGCCCCTTCATGAACTGGACCAAGGAAGGACCACGGGGGAGCCCAGAGGACGAGCGCAGCGCAGTTCATCACAGCTGGTGAGGTCGCTTCTGACCCACCCGGGACAGAGGAAGCCAGGAAGACCAACGCCGATGGCTCCGAGAGGCTGGTTCCCGGCGCCTGCCATGAGCCTCCTCGATCGCTCGCTCGCTCGCTCGCTGGCAGCCCTGTGAGGAAGGCTGCCTCTCCCCTCCCCTGCCACCCAGACGGCTCCCCCTTGGGAACAGGCAGCCTGAACCCCAGCCTGGACCCTGAGCTACCTTGCCAGGAGCGCCAGCCCCTCCCCAAGGCGGTGCAGCCCCATCACAACCCACAGCCATGCCCGTTGGTTTCAGAGCCTCCACTCCACCACCACCCCCAGGCAGAAGGGCAGCCAGCCTGGCAGGCCCCTTCTTGCGAAGTCTCTTGCAATTAGGGAAGGCTGGGGACGAGACAGGGCCTCGTGCGGCAGGAGTGGCTGCAGAAATCCAAAGACCGGGTGCAGCCCATGCCCTGAGCCAGGACACAAGAGCCCAGGGCCACGGGGTGTGTGTGTGTGTGTGTGTGTGTGACACCAGGGCAGGGCGGAAGGGAAGGAAGGTTAGGGAAGATAGAATCTTTTCCAAGGGAGGCTTCTGAGGAAAGAGAAGGGGAGCAGCACCCACTGAAGTGAAAAAGTGTAATGCATAAAAAGACACCATTGGGATCAGGGGACAAACAACTAGGAAGACAGCATAGAAGTTCTTCATTTCTACAGCTTGTTTCTGCTCAGTACAAGACCTTGATAGGACTGGGTGGGGGAATCATTTAAACTTTCTCTTTAAGGCATTAGAAAACAATTGCACTCCTAAAAATGTAAGTGAAATAATGGCAGAATGTTATAGACCTATATAAGTCTTCAGAGTGTATATTCTCGTGAAGTGCTAATCCTTTAGATAATTTCTTGTTTCCCTGCCTTCCTTGTATGCAGAAGGAAGGAAGGAAGGAAGGAAGGAAGGAAGGAAGGAAGGAAGGAAGGAGGCGGGGGGCGTGCATGCTCCCGGCGCTCGGCTCCCACCGGTGGCTGCCTATTAACCTCAGGAACGGCTCCTGCACCCTCCGTCAGGACCTTCACGGTTCGGATGATGACGGGCGGCTGGCTCTTGTCCCCACCCGGGTACTCGGTCACCTCCACAATCTCAGTCACGATGGTCTCAGTCACCTCAGTCACCTCGGTCACCTCGGTGGTGGTGGTGGTGGTGGCGGCGGCGGCGGCGGGGAGGGGGGTCTTCCAAGCCCAGCTGCCTCCGGAGGACCTGGGGGGGCTCCTCCAAGGCCCGGCCTCCCCCGCCACGGCCACAGCCTCCAGGTGTGCCTTGAGGGGGTTGCAGGCCAGGCCCCCGTTCTGCACTTTGACGTCCACGTTGTTCTGCTTGGGGAGGGAGCTGCTGGGCTGGGCTCCGTTCCAGCCATTCTCAATCACCAGGGGGCTGAGCAGGGGTTTCTCCGGAGGGCCAGCGCCCCCCTCGGCTCCGGCGTTGTTCCTTCCCGGCGAGGAGCATCCGGGGGCCGCCAGGCCCAAGTCCCTGAGGTAGGAGTCCTTCAGGAAGTCCTCGGACCGCCCGTTCTTCTCCCCCAGGCAGCTGGGCCTGCTCCCCACGTTGCCCATGGCTGGCTGGCCAGGGAGGGTCCGGCCAAGGTCAGGAAAGGGCAGCGGGGGCGGCTGCCTGAAACAGAGGAGGGGGAGGTACTGTGTTACCTGCCAGGCCCCATGGAAAAGGCCTCCTGGCATGAGGGGGTCGCCCCTGGAGCCCAAGACTGAGCCCGTGCCCCCCCCCCATGGCCACGGTTCCTGCCACTGAAGCCCACGAGGGAGAGCCCTTGGCAAATTCCTTCGGGCTTGGCTTCCGCAGGGCCCTGAACATGAAGGCAGAGAACTGGGGGAGAGGGGGAGTCAAACCCTGGCGGAGCTGGGCTCCTGGGGGAGAGGGCCTGTCTGCCCCCCACGAAGGAAGCCCCACTTAGCGGCACCACAGACCTCCACCCAAGAGCCTCCGCAGGCCAGGCGGTGCCTCAATCACAATGGGCAACCCCGGGAACGAACGCCGGGGCGGGAAGGAGGTGGAGAACCGCAGGCCGAGAGCGGCAGCTGCTCCCGGCCAACCGCCACCACCTCCTCGTACCGTTAGATTAAGTCTCCTCGGGCAAGCTGGAGCCCCCAGGACAGGAAGCCATCTGTCCACAGCACCCTGACAAAAGGGAGCTGGTGGGAAGGGAGGTGGGCAGCAGCGGGGGGGGGGAACCATTTGTCACCAGGTGCCCAGCCATTGGGCAGAGGGCCACCCCCGCTGCCCACCCAGGCTGGGCTTGGAGAAGTATGCTGTCGGGCACCAACCCCGGGCACCTCGGAGGCAAAAACCCCCCCGGGCCAAGGCTCCTGCAAAGCTCAGATGCCCAAAGCCCACAAGGCCCCCCTGGGGTGGGGGCCAGGGGTGCCCCTGCAGAGAGCCCCCCTTTGTCCCCCCTTCCCTCTCCACGGGGCAGAAGGGGGAGCAGCAGAAGTGGGGGGTGCACCTCTCAGCCCGACTCACCCACCTACCCAGCTCTCCAGGCTGCCTTTCGGCTCAGTGTGCCCACGCAGGCCCCAGGGCCCCCAGCACCTTCTCTGCCCCACGTCAGGGAGGGTCTTGGGAGTGGGGGGGGCTGGCCAGGGAGGGGGCTGGGCTGAAAGGAGAGGAAGAAGGGAAGAGTGGGCAGGCAGGTGGGCCAGAGCCCAGGGGTGTGTGTGTGTGTGTGTGTAGGGGAGGCATTTGTTACCTTCATGATGTGGCAGGAATGCTGGGGTGGGGCGAAGGCGGGGAGGTCCACCACACGTCGGTCCGGCTGGCCCCGGTCGGTCGGTCGTTCCTGGCTCCGGCTGGGGACGCCACTTCAGAGGCTTCCCGTCGGCTTCCCGGAGGGGGGGGGGGGAAGACACACTTTCCAGCTTCAACGAGGAGCCCAAAGCCCTCGGCCAGCCTCCCTCTTCTGCCACAGGCTGGCAGGCGAAGGGATGGAGGAGCCTCCCCTCGGCCGGCCGGTCTGCCGGTCAGTCGGTTGGGGGACCAGCCGTGGGGGCCGCCCCTGCTGCTGCTGCTGCTTGTGATGCCCACGCCGGTCCACCTGCTGCCTCCTCCAGATGCTCCTTGAAGCCGCTGCTCCCGGGAGCTTGGGTGGACAGACAGGCGGAAGGAAGGACGGAGGGACGGAGAGGTGGAAACGGGGGCA